CTCTACAAGAGAGAGATTAACCAATTTTAACAATTCTTTTGGCGTTGGTACTTGACAATGTACTGGTCCTTTTTTTCTCATGTGGTTTGCATTTTTTCATGTAAGTTTTTGCCTTGTTTTTCCTTATCAAAATTATTTTTTATATTCATCTCTTAATGAGAATCATTCCTTTCATATTTTATTTTAACTTTATTTAATTTTTCTGTCTGTTGCAAATTACACGTAGTTAGCTTTAGGTCTAACTTTTTAATAGGGCTCTGTTTTGCTATTATGTCGAAAGTTTCTGCTGTACGCGGAAGGTTGGATCCGTAAAGTATACTTAACCCTAATTTTGCTGGTTCTAATTCAGGTCCTAAACAGCTTTAAAAATCATAATAGGTCTCCATTTTAGTCCATTGACTCTTTTGGTTTCTTACATTTTAAAGTTCTAACTCTGTTTCCTGATGTACATACGCTTATTTAATTCTCGTACAATATTCTTTTCCACCATTTTGTACAGTTATGTTTCTTGAAATCTGGTTTCTATCTTCTAGCTTTGTTAGTTGTATAATTTAGTATTGTCATTTTACTATACTATGTATTTTTCTCTCTCATTTTATGATACTATATATATAATTACTTGCTAGATTGTGAATATTTTATTGTTTAGCATCCTATGTTCCACGAGATAATTTTATACTCGTTAGTACAATGTCTTGCAAAACTATAGTTTTCTAATGGAAAATGCTCCTTTTTATATTTGTGGAGAAACACCTACAACATATTCGCGCGATGCTAAAAATCTAAATTTAAGCAAGAATAAGATCCTAAGTTTTATGTTGCAAATTATCTCTCTCATGCAAGATACACATTATTTCTTAGACAGCTGTAAACATTTTAATGCCACTTAGAACAATGTGTATAAGTGAAAAATATTTCTCAACGTGAGTGTCTACAAAAACAAAGTTTAGAAACAAATGAAACTCAGAATATGTAATTTGATTGCAGCTATTCTCAATAGACCTAGACATTGAAAGTTTCTGTGAAGAAATTCAAGAACATATATCAGTTATTAAACATAATTTATGGGTAGGCGACACTTGGATCACAGATAAATATTATTAATGAGTAAATTATATTAAAATTGAATTAAAATTTTTATTAATAAATGTAATACTTTTTTTAATTGTCTTTACATTGATCTATTGTTGATTTACTTTAAATAATATTTAAAGATATATTCTTCCAAGTGTGTGTGCGGAATAGGGTTCCACCAAAATACTTACTTTCTACTTCTAGAGGTTCTATGAAAACATTTTCTAGTTCTAGGGGTTCCGTGAATTGAAAAAGTTTGAAGACCACTGGTATATAGTATACTCTCTTTGTCAAATACTCGTACAAATGCTAACCACTAACAAATGTACGTAATTTATTATTTCACAAACCCAGGCGAAAACCGATTGCCGCCTTTCGAATAAATGAGTAAAGATGGTGTATGGTGGCAGGGGTGCATGTTTTCAAATAATTCGAAATTCCTAGTTATTTGGATAATATATATGTCGATTAAAACTATTCCGATCATTATCTTGTTGAGGGTAAATGGAGAGCGAGACGACCGCCCCCCCCCCTCCGAGGCCAGGACCTTGGGCTCTTTTTGGCCTAAGTCTTAAAACGTCCTTAAGAACTTTTGATCTTTGCATGCACACAGAAATTCAAGGATCAATTTCTAGTAAATAGCACTGGAACGGGTCTATCCGCATTTTTTCTAATAATCCTCTTGGGAATTACTTTCTTTAAATATTATTTAATCGAAAACTTCCTCCCGAAGAAGAAGATGCGATATTTGTTAAGTATGTCACGTATTTAAGTATTAACTTTCGGGTTCGAGAGAGAGAGAGAGAGAGATTATAGAACAGTGATTCCCAAAGTGGTCTATATAGACCCCCTGGGGTCTATGATGATCTCCAAGGGGTCTACGCCTGCCAAAAATTAGTTTGGGGTCCATGAGGTGTAAGTGTGGGTCTATGTGATACTGGCTCTCATTAAACTAGATCGTGACTTTAATTTTAAAAGAAAATTTATAATCACGTGCAAACCAAATTTTACCTATTTAAGAGATTCATTTACTAAATGTAATGAGGTTAATTTGCATTTACAAGGGGACAGCATAAATTTTATTAAAACAAGAGCCGTTTCAGCTTTTCTTTCCTGATTTAAGCTAAAGAAGTATAATACTGGAGGTCCCGAATTTTCTAAAATTGTCACAGACAATATATCAGAACGTTTTAACCTACATTCAACATTTAACCGCCTTTTATTTAGATTTTGAAACGAAGTTTGAGAATGATTTGACTATGCAATACCACAGTAGGCAATGAATTCATATGTTCTATTGAAAAAAATGTCAAATTACAATAGGAACTAATAAGCTCTAACGAAGATCTTTAAGTTTTGAAATGGATGCCAGCAATTTCGGTTTCAAAAAGTCAAACCTGTTATTTGTCCTGACTTATGGAATATTGTGAGTAAGTTTTTCACTGCTTTTACTAGAGTGAAGGAGTTTCAGCGCGATTGCCAATCTCGAGGAAAAAAAAGAAAGAAAAAACTGGACACTATATATATATATATATACTGAAAGAGGAGATTTAATATTAAACCAGACAAAGATTGATACTAAATGTTGAAAATTTGATATTGTAATACTAGACATTCATCTCTCCCATTAAAATAATTTGTTTGTTGTTTAGTTTGTTTATTTAACAGTTTTATTATTAACTAATTTTAATTTAATTAACATATGTGTGTGTTTTAAATTTTAAACACTATATTTCATTACAGTTAGAAATTTAATTCTCTTAAAATAGAATTAGTAGTACCAGTAGTAAAAAAAGCATTAGGTACCAGTTAAAAAGAATTTAAGTTGATAAATTTGCAAAAATTGAATATTAATTAAGCAGGGGTCTACCCCAAACCGAAAAACATGGCAACCTACGAGAGAAAAAAGTTTGGGAGCCTCTGTTATAGAAGCTGAAGGATAGAAGTGAGGATTAACGTAAGATAAACGTAAAGCTGGGCGAGAGCACTTTGTAGATTGTTTGATAAATATTAAGATGGACGATTTGGTCACTTAGTTGATAAATTGGATTCGGTCGTTTTGTATTGGATTACTTTAGAAATTATCTTCAATTATAAGAAGGTGTATTGTCTGGACGTGCTAAGTGTAAGTGATCCGATTTATTATTACATTTCCAATTATCTCGTCTACTTCGCTATTGCTCCCATATTTATCAATTGGTGCATTTCTTAACTTGGGTTGTTGAATTTGTGTCGTTGTTGAGAATTGTAGATAAACTGTGTTGTTTTGACTATGTGGCTAGTTTTCCTTCTAACTCTTGTACACAGATGGCTGGGGAAACCCAACTATCATTACAACACGTAAAGATAAATTTTATAGCTCTTAAGTTATTAATCTTTAATCTAAGATTTTGATGGTTTAAATTTTTATATCAGATATTTATACGTCACAATAGTTGTATCCTAATCCCGATACGAAAGCCGAAACGTTACCGAACCATTTGTCCATATTACTAATCAGAAACTACTCCAAATGTACTCCTTCACGCAACCATTACTCCATACAGTCCAGGGCTATCGGAGAACATAATCCATAGATAACCCGACCCCTTCCTCCACCCTCTATCGTATTCTCCGAGCAATTAATCTCCAAAATCAGGACTCGAAGCCTACACGTAACACTGATGATAACACCGTGACAACACCTCAGGCGTCAACCACAGCCGCATCTCCTTAACGCACCACTAAAAGAAGGGGTGGTACAGGCGAAAGAAAAAAAAAAGAAAAGATTCCTATCTTCTCCAGCAAAAAAACAAACAAAAACATGAGTGATACCCTCATGACGCAGCGAGGAAGGGGAGGGGAGGCAGAGAATAAAAATTCTCAAACGTTAGGTGTGCCCGAACCTTGAGTCGAAAAATTTACATAATCACATATAATGGTCGGCGTTTAAACGCCGATTACAGATGCTCTCATTCAACAAATGGACAAATTTATTACACGTTGTAATGCTGGCGTATAACGTGTTATTCGGGACTTTGGGTAAACAAACGCATAGTTTGTATGATGCGCCGTAGGTATCAAGCCTATATATAAATAGACACGTTTTTCTTTCTGATTACTCGCTGAGTGGTACTTAGAGGGATCTAATCATAGGGTGATGGGATAGCACCTCTGGTTGGAACCGGTCGTTACCGGATTCGACATAGGAACCACGCGCTTCGTGCAGAAGCAGGTGAAAGGAAGAACACTTTGGCCAAAGATTTTTTCTTTGTGTGTGACGGTTCCAGATTGAAGACACAGTGTGTCAGAGAAAGTTTTGGGGGTTTAAGTGAAACTAGCCATTCGGGTGTCAATCATTTTGGGTGCATGTGATGATTTGTGCAATAAGAATTTTTTTTTCTCTTTCGTTCTCTTAAAGCATAACACTTAATCATTTTTCTCAAGATTGGGATCACTACAAGGAAAGATTTTCGGACTCTAGAGTAGCGTGATTGAAGCATTACTTTGTTTGCCTGCCTAAATCTGTATTATTTTATTTATCTCGATCAGATTTTGAGATATTTTTCTTCTCTCGCCAAATAGATTGTTTATCACAGCTAGTTGAAAGTAAATATGTATAGAGTAAACACTTTTTCCACTTTTCTGTAAGGTTAACCTTTGATTTGTATCAAAAATAGAAACAAATTACTAATGCTATGTAAAAAGAAACAAATCATATAAAAAAAATTTAAGTCAAATTCTACTTAGATCAACAAAAAAAAATTTACTTTAGTTACTTTTTATTAAATAATCATAATTAATATAAATATGTATATACATATGACAGAATCACAATATTAAGTGGCAAAATAGAAAGCTACTTTCCCTTTTATAAATAGTGTTGGTCTATTATTTTTGTTTGTTACTATTTATCTATTCATAAATCACATTCTCAGAAATCAGACCATCCCAGGTAGGATTCAAACCCACGACCTTTGGAATTAGATGTCCAACGCGCTATTCATTGCGCTACAGGGAAATAATGAGCGATTTTCCTTTTTATATATGGTGTTGGACTATTTTTATTTGTTGCTATTTATTCATTAATTAAGTTTAATTGATGAATTAATATTTGAAAAACTATAATAGCATCAAGTGTCCTCCACTTCAAGTTTTAAAAAACTTATTTGAACTTGAATGGATGAATAGAGAGTATCTTATTAACATTGAAAATTTGAGCAAAATCTATATATTTATATACAGTAGCGTACACAAAAATTTTTCAAGGGGGGAGTCCATGGTCGAAAATCCCCCAAATTGTATCATGTCTCAAGACAACACCAATTGATTCTTCTGATTTTGTTGACAAAAAACAGTACAAAATAAATTATTGAATTAATAATTAGAATTAATTAATAAAATAAATTGTTAATTACAAGTACTTAATTAAATTTTACGTTATATATAATATATATGTAATAAGTCGATGACCATTGGAATGGCATTTCTAATTTAATTTCTATTTTTGATTGAGGTCTTATTTTTGATGGCATTGACGAGGCAGTCTTTTGAAATGGCAAAATCAGTTTATTGAACATGAAACACATAGCGTTTCAACATAACAAGAAGCAGACAAGAAGACACAAACACAAAACACAAACTAAGCTGCAGCCGTTTACATGACGAAAGACAAAACAGAAGAGAGAGAGAGAGAGGGGCGGTCTCTCCAGGAATCTCGGTGTATATATAGTCGGCTCAAATCACATGATCAGAGTGGGTGGATAGATGATGTTCAAAATACTCTCGTTAGGTGGCTAGAAAGTTTATTAATCAAACGTAGGTCCTGAAGGGATGGACCAGATAATTAAAATATATTTAAAAGGATTATATTACTGGGATTATTACATATATATAGGATTATCATCAATCGAAAAAACTCAAGGGCTTTGGGGGGTGTCCGAACCCCCAGCACACCTCCTTGTGTGTGCCACTATATATATAGGGAGATTGTGAACAAATAATAGGAATTGAAAAAAAGTTAGGGGTATCTGATCCGTAACACTGATCGAGGTGAAACCAGAGGGGTGTCTTTATTTTCAATTAACGAAAATTGAAGGAAAATATTAAAAGTTTTAATGATATCATTTCTGTGCATAATTACATTACAAACATATTATTACCTTTGTCTTCTCCTAAATTAACATTTGATCAAGTAAGGTGAGTAGTGATGGTTATGAGTAATTAAGTATTAGTTAACGACAAATTATAAGACAACTCGAGAGCTATTGGCAACTGACCTCGTAATTCTAAGCCACGAACAAGTGATGAGGAGGATCATCACTCTATGATGATGATCAAGTCATGTCAGCGGGAGGACTTTGAGCCATGACAGATCCACAAAATGACAAGGATTGTATCTGATCTAGTACCACACTCTCCTTCTTACCACACCACCCCAAGCTGAGGACTTTGAGCCACAACAGATTAAACGTGCATCAGTCCCTCTACATGGCGAGTCTTCGATGGCACTTTGGCTCCAATTCATGACACACCGGCCAAAAGCTCTGAACCAGGACCACTAGGCTACCTCGAACTTGGTCCTGGTATGGAACTCAAAGTCGGCGTTTAATTAGTCCTGGTCCGAGGTCATATCCTGATACCACTGAAGATCCACCTGTACAAAGGCTGGTATTATATTTGTTGAGTTTCAAAATCTTCAGGTTGGCGTGGTGGAAAAATTTGGAGAATGGGGTGCCAACTCGGGTGCAACTCCTTGTCACATATGCCTTGTAATTTTGAACTAAGTGCGTCGCCAGAAGCTGTGTGATTTCGTAGTGCAACTAGTAAATAATCGATAAAACTTGAAAAATGTTGGATCTCCCTCCCCTTAAAACTTATTTATGCTCTAGTGCTAATGAAAATTTAAGTGCAAAGGTAATGAACTTTTTCTTTTATAAAAAATTACAGCAACATGTTAAAGAGCAAAATACAAATAAGAATTTTAAAAGGGCCTTTTTAAAAAAAAATGAGCAAATGCAGCACATATTTTTTAAAAATTTTAAAAATGGATTGATGCACTTCAAGGCCCATACATTCATTACAATGTAAAACTTTTTTTAAAGGCACACCTTGTTCCACACTCTGGCATTACAATAACCCAGATCGACATATTTAGCACGACAAATTACTTCCAACGAAAATCACTGCATCGCCGAACCTCCCCACATTGAGAGAAGGAAGGGGGGGGGGAGAATAGTCAAACAAAACATGTAGCTCACGAAACGGTTTCTAATTGAAAACATCAACACCAGTTAACAAATCAAATTGCCCATTCAAAGAGCTTTGCCCACAATCACTCATTTGTTTGCTTGCTGTAAAGGTGTCACGACGGGCCATACCAATCCAATCTGCCAGGAGTCGGTCTTTTTTAGCCAGGAGAAAGCGGCGCAACTGGCCAAAGGTGTCACGACAGACTGTGGCGCTATAAATCAACACCTCGTTAAGCCTCTTTAACTGGCCGATGCTCGCTGGAGATAGGTTAACCGCGGACCGCGCTGTCGTCAATCTGCAGACCACGCCCACTGGCTTAACTCGAGACTAGGTATCAACGCTTGATATTTCGGGCAGGTAATAAGAAAGAAGAAAGAGACAGGACGGGGTGAGGGAGGAGGTGGTGTATAATGAAACGAAGGAAAGAGGGGGTGGGCTCCTAAATTTCTCTTGTTTGTTCTTGGGACATGCAAATGAGAAATGCTTCGGTGGAGAATATCGGTGTGGTTTCCTTTTCTTTTTTTAGAAGAAAAAAGTTTAGAAGAACGAGATGGTTTTTTATTCTGTTTTATTTATTCTTAGGCAGGATTTCAGTGCTCTCCGGAGATTTTATAGGACCAACATTATAAAAAATAAAAGCAAAAATGCACTTTCGATGAGGAAAAAAAAATTCAAAATAAATTTTATAATTTTTTTTATTAAGGTGACCGACTGCGTTCGAAATTGTTATTTTGGAAAAAGCGTATAAATGGATAATTTTTATGACGTTTCGCGCCGTTTGAATTAGAATTTACATATAAAATTGTTTTACGAATACAAGAAAAAATTATTTAAAATATCCGTCTGCTTTCCACAACTTTTTTTTTTTTAGATTTTTAGATTAGATACATTTTAAGAAAAATATGCTAAAATTAAGAAGAGGAAAAGAAATTATATTATTACTACAATGGGAAAAAATTGGGTAAAAATTGACAAAAAATAGCATAAACGCGGCCCATTCTATACCAAAGTTTATGAACAGATTTTCAATTTTTCAATTCTGATGTGTTGCTATGTTATTCATTTTTGAATTGACCTTCAGGATAAGAGATATTTTCTTTTTTACAAAAACTAGAGCCCTTTAGTTATTATATGAAATTGCTCAAACAAACAGTGATTATATTCACATAAGGGGCTGTAAATTTTGTAATAAAACAGTAATTGAAAAATCTGAAAGTTATAAAACACTTCTACTATTATACAGAACATACACAAAAAAATTTAGATAATTATTTTCAAAATTTTCTGAGCAATCGCTGTCCCTGTTTGAGCATTTTCAAAAAAACACATTTCGAGTAAAATGCTTTTTAAAGCATGACATATCTTTCTTAAAGAAATGACATCTTGCTTAAAGTAATGACATCTGCTTTTACTAAAACACTTGTAGCTTTTGTTCTAGTGAAAGGAAAATAATAAACTTGGTATTTTTATAAAGCTAATAAGATGGCTTATAAAATAAAACAAAATAAAATAAAATGCCAATTTTTGGCAAAATTCGGATACCTTAAATGAAATTTTATGGTAAAAAAGGAAGAAAGAATGACATATTTTCAAGACATTCTCATTTTTTTATGAAAAAAAGTTGCAACAATAATATTTTGCTGGAGCTTCAACAGGTTGAACTAAAATTTTTAAAATAAATAGTTTAGAAATGGATTTATTTATTTTTTACTATACCAGTGTTGAAATATGATTTTAAATACGATTTTAATTGATCTCGTAACTCTGAAAATAATACGAATTTTTCTAAACTTTTATCTTAGTCTCGATATAGAAGTCCTAGATTTTTGAAAAAAAAATATTGATATACAAGCAGTTTTCATAAAAGAACGTTTTAAAAATATGTCACTTCACATTTTTTGCTAAAAAATTGCTTTTAAATAATTCTTTCTTCTAATCATATTCTTAAAACAATTTTATACGTATGTTCTAATTCAACTGATATTTAATATCAAAAAATTATTCATTTACTCGCGTTTTCAAAATCACAGCTCTGGACACAGTCACGGTCACCTCATAGAAAATATAATTTTATTCTTTTTTTTATATATATATCTTTAAAAAAACCATCGATTGTGATAGTTAAAATAATATAATGGTAAAGACTGCTTTTTATACTAAGAATATTTTTTTTAATGAAGCAAATATACCTTCAGAGCATATCTATCGAATTAATTTATCCAATTGCTTGTTCTAAAACTTTTGGGAGGGGAGAGGGGGTATGTAAAAACTGTTTTTAAGCACACTAGGGTCTAAAATTCAATCAATGGTAAACATATTTTTTTTAAAAAAAATAACAGACTAATAAGAGTTTATACAATTCATTTTATGTTACACATACACATTTTCCCTCCCTTTCCTGTTTTCGACCCCTTTATTCTGTTGATAAATTACTTGACTTCATATGGAGAATTTATATTCAAATTGTTATCAAACAAATAAAAGTATCAAGGTGATTGCATTAATAAAGCTAGAAAAAGAATTGACAAGATAAATATATCAAGGTAAGTTTCAAGGACGTATCTAATCGATCTTCCTTTATAAGCGAATCAAAGTCCCAAGCAGTGTAGAAAATAAACCTCCATCCTCTATTTTCATTGTTGAATATAATCAATTATCTCGACCTGTTTAGCAACAATTCTGAAGGCAATTTACTCCCGTTTACTCGTAATTACTAAAAAAGTTATTGTAATTAGGAAAATGAACGTCGCCATCAAATCCAAGAGTAGT